CTCTAGGGGTCAAGGCCGGGATGGGTCTTTGGAGCTGGAGGGTTAGAATTCTGGTAGTCCTCGGGGGGGTGAGGCGCCCGTGAGATTTGGAAATGGGTCGGTGGCGCCCGAGGGTCGTATTCCGGGAGCTGGCCTGAGCGACCACTGAAGCTTGTGTATGGTGGAAAACGTGGGAAGACCCCGACTCACTCCTTCCCTTTCCCCAGACCACAATTATGGCCGTGCAGTTCGACGGGGGCGTGGTCCTGGGGGCCGACTCGAGAACAACCACGGGGTGAGCGCGGGACAGATTGGTGAAGGGGCCCCCTCCTCCCCCGCTGCCTGGCCCGACTGCCAGCCCATCCTGAGCGCGGCACAGATTGGTGAAAGGGCCTCCCCTCCCCCGCGCCTGCCCCGATGCCAGCCCACCCTTAGCCTCGACAGACTTCTGTGGGCAGGGACTTCTCCTCTCCCTGCAGATAAGCATTCCCCCCACCCTTGGTGAGATCTTTATAGAAATCTGTTCTCCAACTGATTTAGGTTTGGATGAGAACTGATAGGCAATACTGGGTTTCCTGTCCTTGAGCTCTGAGTGATGGGTTGGGGTGGGAGGGAGGCAGGTGGGGTCTTTGCCCTCACTGTCTGTCTTCCCGCAGGTCCTACATCGCCAATCGAGTGACTGACAAACTGACTCCCATTCATGACCACATTTTTTGCTGCCGCTCGGGCTCAGCAGCTGATACCCAGGCAGTCGCTGATGCTGTCACCTATCAGCTTGGTTTCCACAGGTGCTTATGGGCAGGGGAGGAGCTGGGATCTGGAAGGAGTTGGAGCCAAAGACTCTAAATGGACTGATTCCTAGGTTCTGACCCTGCTTTCTCTGTGACACCCCCCCCCCCCCCCCGGCCAGCATTGAACTGAATGAGCCCCCCCTGGTGCACACAGCAGCCAGCCTCTTCAAGGAGATGTGTTACCGGTACCGGGAAGACCTGATGGCAGGGATCATCATTGCCGGCTGGGACCCTCAAGAAGGCGGGCAGGTCAGAGCCCGGCTTGTCCCCCTGCGGCCATTCCCCGTCTGTCTCCAGCTCCTACCTCACTTCTACGGTTAACTGTGCCCCGCCCAGGCCCACGTGGACGGATAAGTGGACGTGTGCTGGGTGGGGGGGAGCGTACAGCCAGTGACTGTCTTCATCCATCTGGCAGGTGTACTCAGTCCCCATGGGGGGCATGATGGTGAGGCAGTCCTTTGCCATCGGAGGCTCTGGGAGTTCGTACATCTACGGCTACGTGGACGCCACCTACCGGGAAGGCATGACCAAGGAAGAGTGTCTGCAGTTCACCGCCAACGGTGAGTGCTTGGCCTGCAGGGCCTGTGAGCTGCAGCCCCTCCCCAAGCCAGGCCAGCGCCCCTCATTCCTCGTCGTGGCCCCAGGATCTCACTCTGAACCCAGCCTTCTCTTTTATCCTCAGCTCTCGCTTTGGCCATGGAGCGGGACGGCTCCAGTGGTGGGGTGATCCGTCTGGCAGCCATCGCCGAATCAGGGGTGGAGCGCCAAGTGCTTCTGGGAGACCAGATACCCAAATTCACCATTGCCACTTTACCACCCCCCTGAACCCTGGAATTCTAGGATGCAGTAAGAGACACGCCATGCAGACAGGAAGTTTAATAAACACTTTGTCAAAGAGAGTCTTTGTGCTTTGCTTTGGGATTCTTTTGTTGACCTCAAGCCTAAACTTGTCTGACCCACTGCTGTTTGTGTAAACTCCTGTACTGAGCTGCAGGGGAGTTGGAGAGGAGATGGGGGGTGTTCATGAATGTTCTTCAAACCTACTTCTCCACACTTAACCTTCTACCATACCCAGGTCCCTGACCACCAGGTTGTGGTGCCTGCCACACCCTCTCCCTGTTTTAAGCTTTAGGTGGAATTCAGAATTCTGAGGCTGGAGTCACCTTCCCGCCGCCTGCCGCCTGCCAGCCAACATGGGTGACCACTGACAGTAAAGCCAGAGGGATTTGCTTCTACCCCAGCCTCCCCTTAGTCCACCGAGCCTCTGTCACCTCATTTTGTGGTCAGGAGCAGCCGGGTGTCTTCCTTGGCTTGTGGGAGAGAAGTGGGTCTTGTCTGTAGACGGAACTCCAGGTGGACGTTGGAGGGGGTGACAGTCACTGGCAGCACCTCCGGCCAGCTCTAGAAGCCACCATCCCCTGGGCCACTGAGCCCTCTGCAGCTGTCCTTGACTAAAACCAGGGCCCTAAAAGAGGTCATGGTGCTCACTGACAGTGACACATTCAGTTCCTGGGTCAGGGAACCATGGAAGCTGTGTTCACAAACCTTGGTCTAGAACATAACCCTGCCTGGAGCATTTCTCAGGGTAGTAGGGAGGTTTGTTAAGTAGATAAAGAGGTCCCTGGGTTATATGAAGAAGAGAAGGATTCTTTTTTTATATTTTAAAGATTTTATTTATTTATTTGAAAGGCAGAGTTAAAGAGAGGGAGACAGAGTGAGATCTTCCGTCTGCGAGATCAATCCCCAGGGACTGCAATGGCCAGAGCTGGGCCAGTCCAAAGCCAGGAGCTTCTGGGTCTCCCACGTGAGTGCCAGGCCCCAAGCACTTGGGACATCCTCTGGTGCGTTTCCAGGCTCATTAGCAGGTGCCCAAGGGAGTGCCGGGGCCACAGGTGGCGGCTTTACCCGCTACAGCACAGTGCTGGACCCCAGAGAAGGATTCTGACCCTGAAGATGTACCTTGAATTTAGCCAAATGCAGAACCTTTGACTTTTTATTTAATTGATTTGATAGGAAGAGAGACAAGGCAGGGAAAGGTCACTCCCCAAATGCCTGCAATAGCTGAGGCTGTGCTAATCTTAATCCAGGAGCCAGCAACCCCACTGTAAGTTTCTCAAGTTGGGTGGCAGGGACCTAACTACTTGAGCCATCACCTAAAATGCAGAACTTCTGATTTTTTTTAAGATTTACTTTTTTTTTTGACAGAGTGGAGAGTGAGAGAGAGAGATAGAAAGGTCTTCCTTTGCCGTTGGTTCACCCTGCAATGGCCGCCGCGGCCGGCGCGCTGCAACCGGTGCAACGCACTGACCTGATGGCAGGAGCAGGTGCTTCTCCTGGTCTCCCATGGGGTGCAGGGCCCAAGCACTTGGGCCATCCTCCACTGCACTCCCTGGCCACAGCAGAGAGCTGGCCTGGAAGAGGGGCAACCGGGACAGAATCCGGCGCCCCAACCGGGACTAGAACCCGGTGTGCCGGCGCCGCTAGGCGGAGGATTAGCCTAGTGAGCCACGGCGCCGGCTTAAGGTTTACTTTTTATTTATTTGAAGGAGTTAGAGAAAAGAAAGATTTTCCAACCTATGATTCACTTCCCATTGCTACAGTGCCCAGGGCAGAGCCAGGCCAAAGCCAGGAGTCTGGAGCTTCCTCTGGGTCTCCCGTGTGGGTGCAGGGGCCCAAGCACTTGGGCCATCTTCCACTGCTTTTCCAGGCACATTAGCAGGGAGCTGGATCACAAGTGGAGCAGCCAGGTCTCCAGCTGGCACCCATATGGGATGCCGACATCCCAGTCTGCGGCTTAACCTGCTGTGCCACAATGCCAGCCCCCAGAACACTTGATTTTCAAGCCAAAACCTGTTCTCCAGCCCTCCCTATCTTAAGTCATCCACTTTGATTCCTCTCTGCCTCTCATCTCTCATTCACTCTAAGAAGTCCTGGATACTTCCTGACAGGATGTACATCTGGTCTATCTCTCACCATCTCCACCTCGCTATTCCTGTTCAGGTCGCATCATCTCTTGCCTGGAGGATGGTAACAACCTCCTAAATGGCCTGGCTGCGTGCACACTCGCCCGTGCACAGTCCTTTCCCCATACAGCAACCACAGCGATCCTTGTCAACATGAGACTTACTGCCCTGCTTCACATTCTCCAGTCTTAGCATCCCACCTAGAATAGTTTGGCTCTTTACCAGGGCTCGGAAGACCCAGCAGCGCACTTGAATCTCTGCCTTTTATTCTGTTGGCTACAGCCTCTGGGGTTTTCACTTGTTATTGTCTGGCTGGAGCTGCTTTGATTTTTTTTTTTTTTAATAACATTTTTTAGAGCCATTTTGGGTTCACAGCAAAACTGAGTGGAAGGCGCAGATGTGCCGTATGCTCCCTGCCCTCACAGGCACACAGCCTGCCCCACTGTCAGCCAGCACGCTACACCGCAGAGGCAAGCGTGTTGGAGGCAGTGAGCGTGAACTAACACCTCATTCCCGTTTTCACACAGCAATGCAGGCCTTGGCTCAAATGTCCCTTCAACAGGAAGGCCACTCCTGACCCCCTGAAACTGAATCACTACCCTCCCCCAGCCCACTCTCCAGTTACCCTGTTCCATTTTCTTTTTTTAAAGATTTATTTATTTGAGAGAGTGGTCCTCTACCTGCTGGCTCACTGCCCGAGTGGCTGCAACGGCCAGAGCTGAGCCAGGCTGAAGCCAGGAGCTTCATCCGGGTCTCCCACGTTTGTGGCAGGGGCCTATGTGCTTGGGTCCTTTTGTGCTGCTTTTCCCAGGCCATTCGGGAGCTGGGTTGGAAGTGGAGCAGCCGGGACACGGACCAGCACCCGTGTAGGATGTGGTAATTTCTTCACTGCAGCACATGTAGCAGTCTCACACTGCCAGGCTTGCTTACTTACCGAATGTCTGCCTCCCCTTACTGGTAGGTCAGCCCAGGGAGAAGAGACCATGCCTCCTTCCTGGTGCATTCCTACACCTTCCCTGCCTGGCCGGGAGTAGACACTTGATGCTTATTGATTGAATATGCCCTCTAACCCCTCCTGCTGCCCTGCCCGGCCCCCAGACTCCCCCAACTGCTGTCACCACACCAGTGCTGAAGCTAGATTTCAGCCAACTCCCTGTCCTGCAAGCCACACCTGTCCCCACTGCCACCCCATAATCCAGCCCTAGCCCCGTGGCTCCCTCTGCTCCTCCCCGCCACCCTCAGTACACACAGGACTGGACAGCTCTGAACACATTTAATGAGACGGTCATGAGGCACTTGGGAGCCGGAGACACAGGGACCCCTGAGAAGCAGGGAGGAGGGAGGTCAAGGTCCTGGTTGTCCCCATCAGATGGTAGAGTCGTTGGCGGAGGCCATGTCGTGCAGCTGGTGGCGGAAGGACAGTCGGGCTTTCCTGCTGAAGTAGGCACCAGCCCCCAGGGGGGGCGGCCCTCCCTCAGCCAGGACGGCAGGTGTAGCCGGGCCAGGAGCTGGAGGGGCAGCGGGATCCAGGCCTACAAAGGAGAGGAAGAAGGGGTTGTGGGCCGGGACTCAACTGCCCTCTGCCCACCCAGAGTGCGGGAGGAAGGAAGGGAGGGAGGACACCTGGGGGTCTGAGGAGTGTGCTGGCGGCAGCGAGGATGTGAACTGGGGGTGCTGAGACCTCAGGGCTGGCTCATGGGCGTGTGACCTGTGCAGCTCAGAAGGGCTCCCCCCAAAAGGGGCCCCGGGCTTGGTGTGGCACTCTGCAGTCACCACTCTGACTTCACTGGACTCCGCAAAGCGTTTAACTGGTCCTGTGAGGACGTGAGGGACCCACCTCCCACCCAGGGACACAGATGCTCCTTCCCGTTGCTGGCTTGGGCATTTCTCTTTCTCCCCCACGCGGCTGGCCGGCTGCCTGACCACCCTCCATTTCCCTCAGTCGACCCCCATACCTGGTCCTCTTTCAGTCCCTCGCTGTCTGCGGCACCCACACCATGGGAAGCACCATGCCCCCTTCAGACCCATCTCAACACTGGAGCAGACTGGGGTGCTGGAAGTGGCCAGGAGAGCTCCAAGGAGAGGGGTGTGGCTTCCAAGCCCCCCCAACGTGGGCAAAACTACCACTTATCCCGAGCCTGCCTGGTGATTACAGGCGCCAGGGGATGGAGGGGGAGAGGAGCGCGGAGGGGAGGGGTGGAGAGACACTCTCATTCAAACACTTATTGTTTTACCTCTTTAATTTTGGGGTTCTTTCTGATCCCCATGGAAAAGCAGGAGGGCATCAGGAGAGATGGCATGGCAGAGACAATCGGGTGAAAATTTAGTACAGCCGTGCCAAACCACTTGTGCCAGGCTAGAACTGCAGAGGATTCATTTGTATTATATATGTATATAATATAATATATATTATATATAAAGATTTATTGAATGACAGTGACAGCGACTCAAACCAGGCATTTTTGGGCTGGTGCTGTGATAGAGTAGGCATCCCATTTGGGCACTGGTTTGAGTCCCAGCTGCTCCATTTCAGATCCAGCTTCCTGCTAATGTGCCTGGGAAAGCTGCAGAGGATGGCCCAAGTCCTTGGGCCCCTGCTGTCTACATAGGAGACCAGGAAGAAGTGCCTGGCTTCCAGCCTGGCCCCAGATTTGGGGGGCTGTTTGAGGAGTGAACCAGCAGATGGAAGATTCATTCTCTCTCTCTAACTCTACTTTTTAAAGAAATAAATCTTAAAAACAAAAAAACAACTTTCATTCTACGACCAGCATGGTACCAGCATCCCATATGAGTACCACTTCGAGTCCTGGCTGCCCCACTTCCGATCCAACTCCCTGCTGACGTATCTGGGAAGGCAGCAGGGGATGGCCCAAATACTTGGGCCCTGGCCACCAATGTGGGAGATCCAGCTGGAGATCCAGGCTCCTGGCCCAGGCCAACCCTGGCCTTTGCAACCATCTGGGGATTGAGCCAGCAGGTGAAAGATCTCTCTCTCTCTCTCTAACTCTGCCTTTCAAATAAATAAATAAACTTCTTTAAGAAAAGAAACAAAAAGAAACAAAAAACCAGACACTCTGATATGCGATGTTGCATCCCAAGTGGCAGCCCGCACTGCAATGCGGGCTCCTATCTATGTTTTGGAATAAGAATTTGGAGTGTCCAAGAAACAAAATTCTAAAGAATCTTCGTTTTTAGAATGAGAAACTCTAGGAGCTGGTGAAACGTTAGGCTTTCGTGAAATGGTCTGGTAGCGCTTGTCCCCTTTCATGAAGATTGTTGTAATTAAGCTGCATCAAACAGACGGCCAGGGCTGACTTCTGCATGCCATCTCATCTCGTCTGATGCCATCTGATCTCTTGAGGTGAGTGTAGGACTGAGTTCACAGATGAGGGAGGAGGGGCAGTGGGAGGCAGGGCGGCTTGCCCAAGGCTACACAGTCCTAGCAGAGCAGAATCTATAGTCTGTCTGTTAACGCCTTGGAGCTTCCCAGGCAGATGCCCTCAGCCAGCCCTGGGAGGAGCCAGAGCACCCTAGTGGGTGCTTGCTAAAGCTGCAAGGGTCCTAGGTAAAGCTGCAGGCTGGCTGTATCAGGGTTCCATAATGGTGTTAGGAAGTACTGCTGGCCGGCGCCACAGCTCACTAGGCTAATCCTCTGCCTGTGGCACTGGCACTCCGGGTTCTAGTCCGGTTGGGGTGCCGGATTCTGTCCCGGTTGCTCCTCTTCCTGTCCAGCTCTCTGCTGTGGCCCGAGAAGGCAGTGGAGGATGGCCCAAGTGCTTGGGCCCTTCACCAGCATGGGAGACCAGGAGGAAGCACCTGGCTCCTGGCTTTGGATTGGCACAGTGCGCTGGCCGTAGCAGCCATTTAGGAGGTGAACCAACGGAAGGAAGACCTTTCTCTCTGTCTCTCTCACTGTCTAACTCTTCCTGTGTGTAAAAAACAAACAAACAAACAAACAAAAAAACAAGGAAGTACTGCTGACTCTTCTGTATACCTTAGAAGACAGAAGTCTGTTTTAAGAATGGTATTAAAATAAAAATGTCCATATAATTTAATACAAGTATCCCAGGATGGCCACTTGGCCGCAGGGGTTGGGACAGAGAATCCGTATCAGAGTGCCTGAGTTTGAGTTCCAGCTCCACTTCCAATTCCAGCTTCCTGCTAATGTGTACTCTGGGAAGCAGCAGGTGTTGGCGCCAGCACGTGGTCCCAGATGCTCAGAAGGGAGATCTGGATTGACCTCCAGGATCCTGGGTTTGGCCTGACCCATCCCTGCTGTTCTGGGCATTTGGGGAATGAACCTCCAGATGGAAGATCTTTCTATATATCTTTGTCTCTTGCTCTTTCTGTCTTTCAATTAAATCAATAAATGATTTTTAAAAATTTGATTTGAAAATGAACCAAAAAGGCCGGCGCTGCGACTCACTAGGCTAATCCTCCACCTTGCAGCGCCAGCACACCGGGTTCTAGTACCGGTCAGGGTGCCAGATTCTGTCCTGGTTGCCCCTCTTCCAGGCCAGCTCTCTGCTATGGCCAGGGAGTGCAGTGGAGGATGGCCCAAGTGCTTGGGCCCTGCACCCCATGGGAGACCAGGATAAGTACCTGGCTCCTGCCTTCGGATCAGTGCGATGCGCCAGCTGCAGCGCGCCGGCCGCGGCGGCCATTGGAGGGTGAACCAATGGCAAAGGAAGACCTTTCTCTCTGTCTCTCTCTCTCACTGTCCACTCTGCCTGTCAAAAAAATTTAAAAAAAAAAAAAAATGAACCAAAAATTCATTTGAAAGGCAGTTACAGAGAGAGGTCTTCCATTGGCTGGTTCATTCCCCAAATGGCTGCATTGACTGGGGCTGAGACGATCCAAAACCAGGAGCTAGGAGCTTCATCTGGATCTCCCACGTCTGTGGCAGGAGCCCAAGCACTTGGGCCACCTTCCACTGCCTTTCCAGGTGCATTAGCAGGGGGCTGGATTGGAAGTGGAATGGCTGAGACTCGAACCAGTGCCCATATTGGATGCAGGAGCTGCTGGCCGTGGCTTAACCTGCTAACCCACAGCACCAACCCCCATTTCAACTTCTTTTGTGCCACAATAAGCTTATGTTTTTTAATTTCATTTCCTGTGAACTTTTTGAGGTACCTGCATATATACACCTAATGTTATCACTACCTTGATCAAAATATAGGCCACTGGGGGCCGACCCTGTGTTAGTGGGCTAAGCCTCCTCCTGTAACGCCAGAATCCCATGTAGGAGCCAGTTCAAGTCCTGGCTGCTCCTCTTCCCATCCAGCTCTCTGCTATGGCCTGGGAAAGCAGTGGAAGATGGCGCAAGAGCTTACCCGAGTGGGAGACCTGGAAGAAGCTCCTGACTCCTGGCTTTGGATTGGCCCAGCTCTGGCCATTGCAGCCATCTGGAGAGTAAACCAACAGATGGAAGACCTCTCTGTCTCTCCCTCTCTCTGACTGTAACTCTACCTCTCAAATAAGTTAAATAAATGTGTGTGTGTCTGTGTATGGCATTTCCATGACCCCAGAAAGTTCCTTTACAGGAAGCCTTTTTTTTTTTTAAGATTTATTTATTTATTTGAAAGTCAGAGTTATACAGAGAGAGGAGAGGTAGAGACAGAGAGGTCTTCCATCTGCTGGTTCACTCCCCAGTTGGCAGCAAAGACTGGAGCTGCACTGATCCGAAGCCAGGAGCCAGGAGCTTCCGCCAGGTCTCCCACGTGGGTACAGGGGCCCAGGGACTTGGGCCATCCTCTACTGCTTTCCCAGGCCATAGCAGAGAGCTGGATCGGAAGTGGAGCAGCCGAGACTCTAAACGGCATCCATATGGGATGCAGGCTGTAGCTTTACCAGCTACACCACAGCACTGGTCCCTACATTTTGTTTTTAAACTTCTATTTATGGGGGGGGGGGGGCCGGTGCTGTGGCACAGTGGGTTAACGCCCTGGCATGAAGTGCCAGCATCCCATATGGGTGCTGGTTCTAGTCCTGGCTGCTCCTCTTCTGATCCAGCTCTCTGCTATGTCCTGGGATAGCAGTGGAAGATGGGCCAAGTCCTTCAGCCCCTGCACCCATGTGGGAGACCCGGAAGAAGCTCCTGGCTCCTGGCTTCGGATCCGCGCAGCTCCGGCCATTGTGGCCATCTGGGGAGTGATCTAGCAGATGGAAGACCTCTCTCTCTGTAACTCTGTCTTTCAAATAAATAAAATAAATCTTTTTGTTTTCATTTTTTAAAAAATTTTTGATGCCGGCGCTGCGGCTCACTAGGCTAATCCTCCACCTGCAATGCCAGCACACCAGGTTCTAGTCCTGGTCGGGGTGCCGGATTCTGTCCCGGTTGCCCCTCTTCCAGGCCAGCTCTCTGCTGTGGCCAGGAAGTGCAGTGGAGGATGGCCCAAGTGCTTGGGCCCTGCACCCCATGGGAGACCAGGATAAGTACCTGGCTCCTGCCATCGGATCAGCGCAGTATGCCGGCAGCAGCGTGCCGGCCGCAGCGTGCCAGCCGCGGCGGCCATTGGAGGGTGAACCAATGGCAAAGGAAGACCTTTTTATCTGTCTCTCTCTCTCACTGTCTACTCTGCCTGTCAAATTTTGAGTGGACAGTGAGAGAGAGAGAGAGAGAAAGGTCTTCCTTTGCCATTGGTTCACCCCACAGTGGCCGCTGCGGCCAGTGCATCGCGCTGATCAGGAGCCAGGAGCCAGGAGCCAGGAGCCAGGAGCCAGGTGCTTCTCCTGGTCTCCCATGCAGGTGCAGGGCCCAAGGACTTGGGCCATCCTCCACTTCACTCCGGGCCACAGCAGAGAGCTGGACAGGAAGAGGAGCGACCAGGACAGAATCCGAGGTGCTAGCGCCGCAGGCAGAGGATTAGCCTAGTGAGCTGTGGCGCCGGCCATAAAATAAATCTTTAAAAAAAATTCTATTTATGAGGCAGCACTGTGGCAATGCAGGTAAAGCCACCACTGGCAGTGCCAGCATCCCATATTGGTGCCAGTTCCAGTTCCGGCTGCTTCACTTCCGATCCAGCTCTCTGCTGTGGCCTGGGAAAGCAGTGGAAGATGGCCCAAGTCCTTGGGCCCCTGTACCTGCATGAGAGAACCAGAAGACGCTTCTGGCTCCTGGCTTCAGATGGGCACAGCTCCAGCCGCAGCCAACTGG